AGAACCCCAAGCGGGTGGCGCGTGTTTTCTGATTGAGCCGCCTAAAGACTTCGATAAACAAGTTGTTTAAATTGGGGAGTGATTGTTGGAAGGGAAGAAACTCGGGTTGTGTATGGAGCGGGCGGTGGGGGGGTGTGAGGTATCAGTGATTTGCAAAGAAGAAACGGGGTAGTATTGTTTAGGAGGGAGTGGTCAGTATGTCGTTGTGCATAGACGCGGAGTGGAGCAGGGGCGCGTGCGGGTGGTTGTGTTGGGGGCTCAACAAGTTTTGTAGAAAAGTGCCGCGGGCGCGAGCGGCGCGGCGGAGTCGGGGGCGTGTGGAGGGGGGAGCGGTGGGGGGCTTTAAGGGTTTGTGCTGGCGTGTGAGGAGGGGGCTGGGCGGTGTGCGAGAGGGCGGTGGTGAGCGAGCGGAGCGTGGGCGTTGTGAGCGTGCGGAGGTGGGGGGGAGAGCGTGGCGATGCGTGGTGGGTGTGTGGCGGTGGGAGGCGAGGGGAGGGACTGGTGTGGGCGTGGGTGTGTTGGGGTGCGGGTTACGAGTGGGCGTGGTGTGGGGCAGTGGCGGGTGCGGGGAGTGAGGTGGTGGGGGAGGTGTGGGGTGGCGCCGTTGCAAAAGAGCAGGCTTGTGTTGTCGCGGGAAGAGGAAGGGTGGGGCGCGCGGGCGGGTGTGAGGCGGCGGTGTGTGCCTCGTGGTGTGGGGGGGTCGGGGCGGCGCGGCTGTCTGATCCGCCCAGAACCGCCCCCCATGACAATCGGCCGTTTTCCAGCTGACTGCGGTTTTCCCCGTGACCTTTTGTTTTGTCTTGTTTTTTTGTTTGTTTTTTTTTGTTTCCTAATGAAGACATTCTCTCCCGCTGGTGGGCCATTTCTGGGCCATTTCGGCATTTGTGCATTTCTCCCGATTCCGCTTCTTTCTTAAATCGATACATATACGTTGTACTGTCCGCAGTTTCGTCTTTTCTTCCAAGTTGTCAAGCATGAATGCGACCTTAGGCTTTGTAGGGGGGGGGATCAGCACATTCGCTATTTCACATCCTCGTATTCATTGCTTCACAAAAGTTGACAGGTATTCCTCCAAACTTTGAGTGGTATCACTTTATGCCTTTACAACTTAGAGCCGTCATATAGGTATGCCTAGCTCGAGCCAAAAACAAACAGTGAAATAAGGGGAGGGGGTCGTACCGAACCCCTAAAAAAGGGAGGGGTCGTACGGTGCGACCCAAACCATCAACTAATGCTGTGTTCTGGGAGGTGCCCTTATAAGGGCCCTATCAAGCCACAACTTTACGTCCCAAACGCCCCACGCCCGCCCGCCCACAAATGGACGACCGTTCCTGACGCTCGTATTCATTCATTTGCTAAGCAAGCGAAGGGATTGGTATGAAGCGGCCGTGGTGCTGCATGGATATATGGGTACATACATGTAGTCGTATCTACCGCAGGTCACTGACAACGGGAATCTAGTCCAAAACTGCATTCAGAGTCGACGGAAAGCAATTGTTTGAGGGTTTTCGACCGTTTCACTTCAATTTTTCGCCATTTTCCCCACATACCGCTACCAGTTTTGATCAAGCACCGAATGATTGCGCCTTATGCCTTCAACAGCTAATCATCATGATTTTTCAACTCGCCTATGCCTTACGAGGTTGATAGGTCGAACATTCGGTCAACAAGGATTACAATTCCAACTCAGAATCGTGTAGAACATGGGGACTTTGAAACAGCAAACTTCGGGAACAGCAACCAGCAAACTTATAGGAAAAACAGGGAAAAGCATGTTTCCAGAAAAACAGGTCTCCTATAAAAATTTTTACAGGTGTTCTTTGAATTTCCGACCGTTTAACGCTATACGACCTCTGATATATGGCTGCAGAAATTGTCCTGTTTCAGTCTGGTTATATAACCTTATCAAGGTGGACGACAACATGTCTCACTGTGATGGCCGTTGGTCTTCGGAAGAAAAGGCCCAGATTCGGGCTCTTCACCAAGCCGGACTCAGCAATCGGCGGATTGTCAAGGAAATTGGCAGGACTTACTGCGGCGACTGCTCCTACCTTAGAAGTCCTGAGACCTACAACAGCGGTGGAGTTAACGAGCGCCAACGCAACCTGTAATGGAAAATGTGGAAGAAAGCTTCCAACAGCACCTGCAGCGTCAATCAAGTTCGTGCAGAATTTGAGCTCCCTGTCTCAAAGTCGATCGTCTGGAGGGCTATTAAAGGCACTTGGCACGATAAATCCCAAAAACGAGTACGAATAATAAGTGTCGTAGGACGGAATTCCGCGACCCTAAGCAAGCGCTGGTAGCGCCTATTCCAGGAAAGGTACCCCTTGAAGCCACCAAGCTACACCATACCGACCCGAACGCCCACCGGGCCTACACGTCCACAAATGGACGCCTTATGCTGGTATTGCTTCATTTGCTAAGTAAAATATGAAGCGAAGGGATTGATATGAAGCGGCTGCGGTGCTGCATGGATATATGAGTACATACGTGCAGCCGTATCTACCGTAGCGGTTATTGGCAAGATGCCTACGGGAAACTCGTCCGAAATTGCTTTTTGAGTCATGAAGAACGAAGGCTTTTCTTCCGCAGGTTTTTGACCGTTTCACTTCGTTTTTCGCCATTTTCCCCATATCCAGCGCCCTGCTGGCATTTAGGGCGAGAAGCAAATTATCTCAATTGCCTTACAACGCCATAGGTAGAAACTTAATGAAGGAGGCCCACAAGCCGCACTCAAGTTCCAGCAAGTCCGGCCCGCCTCGATTGCTAGGAAGAACATCAGCAAGAGATTGGAGCAGGGTACTGGAGAAAAGCCAACTCCGTCTCACCATAGTAGGGCAACCATTGTAGAGAAACTTGTGCTCAGGCATTCTTTCCTTACAAAAAGAATTTCAATATGGCTGGAACTAGACGGCGCTAGATGTTACTGGCGTGTTTTGAGGAAAGATTCTGCGCGGCTCAGCCGGCGTAACTTCGGTGGCAGATTTCTTATGGTTTGGGGGGCTGACTGCAATGACAGAAAGTTGGAATGAGCATTTGTTCCTGAATGAACTCGTGTGAATATCAAGAAAATCTTGAATCCAACTTGTTGCCGTTCCTACATCGCTGGCGAAGACACATCGCTGACGAAGACAAAACCGATTTTCCAGCAGGGTAATGCAAGTGTCCACGCGGGCAGGTCAACGTCGGAGTGATTTCAGCAGCCAAAGTTGACGTTATGGAGTGGCCTGCTTGTAACCCTGATTCATTCATGGCACCCAATTTGACGAGCATTCCTTCCCGTGCCCTGACCCGTCTACGGTGAGCTGCAACTCACAATGGATTGACATTTTGTCTCAACGGAGGTTTTATTAATGGTCACCAGGTCATGCAAATACCACAGAGTGCACAATGCAACTGTTGTTGCTGGAACGCGAAACCTGTCACAGGTTACACCAAAACAACGTCTAGGCGGAGTCTCTATCCTATGCAGCTCAAAACTGTTTCATGTCTTTCTTTTGACTGTTAATATATTTGTCTTGCGTTCTACCATATGGGGTACACCAGCCTGGAAACTGACAGATCACTCACGCATGGGCACGCTTGAATGAGTGCTTGCCTTGTAACTCATATAGAGTTCATATCAACGCGACCTGTCGGGTCCCAATCAGCGGTTCCACTTTTGGTTGATTATTTCCTACATCGATAATTTCAATAACCACGGTAGAGCGAGGCAGTCGTACGCGAGTTCGTGCCGCGCTGCGCTTGCCGCCCCAGACAAACCGCACTGTTACAAACTATAGACTAACTTATATAAACCTATGCCTTTTATGAACTAGACTACTTCTTTGAAATCAATAAATCCAAAAAATTCAGTATTGAAAATTATGCCACACCTTTACGCATTGGTGCTATAATCATGATAATAAGTAAAAACTAGTTATATCACATTTGTATCACATTATATAGCTGAGCTTTCCTTCACGGTATAAACGAATGCCTTCTGGGCCGAATTGACGAACGAGTAGATGTGAGGGAGCGACAACCCGATTACCAAAAAATAATTTGTCTCCTGAAGCCATCGACTATGAGGAACTAAAATGCTCCATGCGATCACAAGTTAAAATCAAATGCAGGACAACAATTAATGAAGGAGTACTGTGAAAGACTGGTAGAGCCTGGAAGGGAGGTGATGAAGCACTCGGTGATTCGCAATAACTAAGTGAAGAGAACATGCACAACCGAAGTAAGCGATGCGAAAAGAGGAAGAAAACAAACTTTGCTAGAAATCCAAAGTAGAAAAGATCCGATGTGAAGTACAATGAAGCACCAAAGACTGCTATACAGTTTTTCTGGCATCGTTTATTGAAAATGAGTTAGGTGGCACAGACCGTGAGATTGATGAAGAACGTGCTGGTTCTGTTCCTCCAAATGCCTCCTCCGCGACGCTCGCGTTCTGTCGTGCGAGTGCGAACTACACCGCGATTCGATCACCCTTCGGCGGACGTCACTTCGATGCTTGAGTTTCCATTTCCACCATTGTCGACAAATTCAAGGGAACACGAACAAGGTGCTTATGAGTCACTTCGACTCATGAAGATCAACCTCATGTTGTTGTTGAGGAGATGGGAAGATTGTTCTCTAGCAGCTGAAATTGCAGCCTCCAGCGGTACGACCGTTAGTGCCACGCTCGCGACAACGACATTGTCAAATAAACCTCCGATCAAAAAGACCGTCCTTAGGAAGTGTGGGCCCCTGTTCCCCAGTAAATCTTTAGTTGACAGTCATACCAGGAAGTGAATCAACATTATCAGTATCTTCAAATTTATACAAAGGATAAATCTTTCACTGTTGATCCATCCCTTTTTAGGATGCAGCACGCATTACATATCGAGTGCGTATGGTCTATAAAAATGAGATGCGCCGCTCAGAGCCGATGTACAGATCACTTTTTGAAGTTGTTCATCATGATATGCTACTGTTTAAGATCGCATATCGCGCTCGGAAAGTTACTTGAAAGAATGAGTATTATGGGCAGAAGTCCTGACCCTAGGTTGGGCCTGCCGGGCTCTAACTCACGCTCACTTCATGCTTTCTGAGCGAGGGTGCTATCACGCTGCCGGCTACTATCTCAGCTTGGCGGCTAGGGATACGCGCCCGCTCGGAAAGCGTGAGGTGTAGTTGGTTTCCGTTTCAATTCCCTCTCAAAGTAACGACGTTCGCTCATAACTCGGAAGTCTTGCGTATAAGTTGGTGCTTTCATCCTTCCAAACCAGTCTGGTACCAATTTACCGCTCCCAAAAGGCAGACGGCCTGGCTGGGCCAGGCAAGAGCCGATCCGAACTTTCACTACATCATCTCCTCCTTGTCTTAAAACGAATACAAGAAGTTCAAGCCAGCAAATAGATGGGTGCTTTGCCTGCCATCTTGTCTTGCGCCTAATTGGGGAAGTGATTGTAGTTGCTTCAAAACCTCAATATTCTATCAAAGCACCACGTTCAAAGAAAGTACGCAGCAATGCCGTGCTCATAGTCGGGATATCGAATTGATCAGCCTGAGCCTAAGCTTCGCTAGCTACCCGTAGTGGAGTTTGAAACTCCTTTGAAACCTAAACTTAAACAGTCGGACATCTCTTTATTGTGACCATAGTGCTGCTACAAATTAGGAGACGAAAACTAACATCTAAGGCCTCTGAGAAGGTTGCGAGAGATCGAACTTTGCTCAGGTTTTGCCAGAAATTTAGTGTAGCGTTGGGGCGGAGCTAAAGACACGTTCAACAATGGATGTTTTCTAAATGAGAGGAGACTCACAGTGAGCCTTCCTCTCTCCTACTTGTGAAGCGAAAAAAGCTCATCATCAATAGGTAAAGTTGATATGGGTCTCCGCCCATCCATCTACCACGGAACATGCCTTTTAAGCGTTAGTCAATGTTTGGAAAACCAGGATCGCCCGCCTTCGGCGGACGATCCTCCTTCCGCGTGTGAAGTGGGTCCCTGGCATTCCTACTGAGGCCCAGTCGGATCGCCCGCCTTCGGCGGGCGATCCTCCTTCCGCGTGTGAAGTGGGTCCCTGGCATTCCTACTGAGGCCCAGTCGGATCGCCCGCCTTCGGCGGGCGATCCTCCTTCCGCGTGGGCGATCCTCCTTCCGCGTGTGAAGTGGGTCCCTGGCATGTTTGGAAAATTGGTATACTCCTAGGCTCGGCTTAGGTTGGTGAGCATTTTGCAAGTCGCAAATTCGTTTTGTTAGTACCTGATCAATACGTTTCATTATGGCAAAATCTGTAAAGCCTGTAAAGCTTCAAAAGGACCCAAGTGATGGACTTAGGTTGCAAGAATTTCTACAAGGTGATTTTAAGCCTCGCTGAGAACCTTTGGTGCCCCAACCGAGCCGAATTGAGTCAAATCATGTAAAATTGTCGAGAACCTTCAAATTTCTTGCACAAATATGGCTTATGTCTTATGTCCGTAGGCCGCCAAATTTCAGAAGTGCTCATGATATCAAGCCGCATACAAACACGATAGCCCCGGAGCGCTCGCCAGTCCCTTGAGTATTTGCTTGCTTCCGCGAAGATCGGTAGCAAAGAACATCTCAAGAAGATCATCCCCAAGATGAACATATTGTTAAGCACGCGATTGCGTAACATCTTCGCATACCAGTGTTAAGAGGTTTGAACATTCCAAGTTCTTTGAAATGAGTACCTTTTTTATCCTAGAGCGACAGCCACTGATCCTCCTTACTACCCTACCCCCTCCCGTCCCGATTTCTCATGCACAACATTTACATTTCGCTTATGCTGTTATGCTTGAACATATGAAAACCTCATGGAAAGACTAACATCTGGATTTCAGGAGGAAAAAAGTGCAGTGGAACCGACACGCTCCCGATGAACTTTGCTTCGCGGAGAAAGATCAGCGCTAAACGGTAATCCAATACTCAGTTTACACATTGAAAAGTACGTGACTGGTCGGTTGAAAAAGCCCTCCTCCCCCTGTCACCTTGATCACTCGATTCTCCCGTCATCCGCATATGCTCCATCCGTCACAACTTCGCGGTGATGACTACAGGTCCCTCAAATCCAACAATCCACTGCTACACAAGAATCTCAACTTTAAATATTGCAGATAGATTCTTTATTTCGTGATTGTTGAGTATTTCAGGCGCGAGTCGCGACGATGGCGAGATCCTCTGGAGAAGGCGTTGCGACCGGAGAATATAATACTCAGAGAAAGCAACACAAGCGAAGCGAAAACGGCTGACGTATGTAACCAGTTGCTTTCTCTCTTTGATTTTTCACCTTTGTCTCACTGCTCTTGTTTGCTAATCTCCACGTTGTCCCTGTTCTTGTAACCTCGGCATGATGTCGAATGTTCAATTACTTCTGCCAAACGAGGTTGTTAGATGAAACCTTTATTGGCCTAACGTTTCGACCTTCTCGTCTTCTTCAGAGGCCTGAAAATGGCTCGAAGCTTTTAATTTGTTACCTACCCGACCAAACGCCCTCCTCATTCTAGCGTTTCCGACATGCCATCGAAAGAGTGCCATCTTATCTTCCTAAATAAAAAAGCTGTAGGTAAAATGATGAGGTGGAGATTCACTGTAGTCGCGTGGTTATGAGGCACATGAAAAGGGATACGGAATGCAATCATTATGCCAGTGATAAATACGGCTCCAATGTAACAATGTGAAGAAGCGGCCAAAAGTTATTCCCTAGATGAAAGCAAAAATTATGAAGTCACCGCATATTTATTAATGGAGTTAGGTTTCTTGAAAAGTCTCAGAAGCAATGCAGCCCTTTAAGAGAATATGAAGGGGAGAATGTCCGTAAATCCACGATGTTGATAGTAACGAAAAGATGTTGAGATAAGGTGGCAGAGTAGGCGCAAAACGCTCTAAAAGCCTGTAATTTACTAATGCATTACTTACCGTTAAATGCTGCAGGCTATCGTGTAATATGGATACGCCCCGCCCGGTCGGAGGGAGAATGGCGGGTTCGAGTCTCGCCCGAGGTCTAACTTTCATTCTTGTGATAGCTCCAAAGGAGGATATAGCTCTCTGCTCTTCAAAACTGCCGGTGGTGAATAACGTGAAACAGGATAGCGCGGCGCGCTGCCGTCGCCACATGTTTACTCGTATGCGGGTTTCTAGCCCAATGCACAATGCCAGCAATTCATCTCCTGCCCAGATGAACCATTTGACCTCTCGAGGAAAGTGATAACGCATTCGACTGGTGCGGTAAGCAGGAGCCGGCTCCAGATGTTTTGTCGCTTGAGGACCACGCATCGTCATGCGGTGCCAGGTCGCCGGCATACAGTATCTCCACCAGTAATTCACAATACTGAGATAAGCCAGTTGAAAATTTCCCATTCAGCCCAGCCCAACATGCAGCATAGTCACTGAACCTGCTTCCTGAAATTAATACAGATTGAGCTTTCTTCATTTTAATTTCGTTTATGGCCTTGCGGATCAAGGCGAACTAATAATGCTTATGAACGTGTTTTAGGCTCTTCTGCTTCTTGGGAGAGCCATCGAGCAGTGTGGAATCGAAAACGAGATTGCGACGTTTCTGAAGAAGAAGTTTGACGAGAAACATGGTGAGCTTCTCATCAAAGCTAACTAGACCTTAAAACTAACAACAAATCGCTTGTAAGAATAAAGGAGACGGGGACAGAGCCTACGCAGTAGTTGCCGCTTCATCGCGCGCCAGTCTGCAGCGGGCGCGACGTCGCGCGCGACGCCCACTGGCGCGGCGAATTACGATTCTCTTGCCACATACCCAAGAATAAATTTTTCAAAAGTTTTACTAAGAGCACCTGGATACTTATCGAAGACTGACATCAGAGCACTCCAATCTTCTCCGCCTGCAGCAATTCTCCTACTTTCACGCATGTTTCTTACACTGGCCTTAACTAATTAGGAATCGCATAGCCCCCTGTCAGTTTTCGATGACGCACCCAGGCAGCTGCCAGCAAATAAATACAAATAAATAAATCAAGGAGCTGAGCGTTTGGGAACAAGCGCGACTGGAAATAATATTCTGTGGACGTGCAGCGCAGAACGATTTAAGTCGGCAGCTGCTGTCATCCTGCCGCCATTGTTAGTAGCAATGTAGATTGTGAAGCGGCCACTGCGCATCTGTGGTTGCTGATTGTGAGGCTCCATGGCACTTTCCTTGGTCAAGGTTATTAGGAGTGAAAGGCACACTCACGTTTCTTCTGCTACTTGCACTTCCTCGTTGTTAACTGTTAACGTTTGTGCCTGACAATGAGCTTTCCGCTATTTTTCCCGTTTCATGTGCACCATAATACTGGCTAGATGAATCCGGATTTTGGTTCTCCGATCACCGTTAGGCATTTCCAACATGGGGTCGTATACGACTGTCGAAATGGGGACGTCGTACTTGACCGTTGAACTGATGGTGAGGGAGGGGGGGGGGTCGTAACGACAGGAGCAGTCAGTACCGAACAGCTCTCATGTGTCACTGTGCTGAGTCCTGTATCGAAACTTGCTTTGTAGAGACCGGATGTGTAACATAACGGTACAAAACTTTCACTAATTAAACTAATCCAAAACTAACTGGAAATATTCTTAAGTTGACGTCATTTCGTAAGTATTAGGTTGGCTAATAAGTAATGGCGGTTTTTTTCAATTGAAAAATTTGTTCGAAAAGTGAAACGTTTTGCAAGCAAGTTATATATCATCTGATAGGAAACTTCTCGTAGTATAAGAATATCAAAAAAGCTTGGTTGAGGATATAGTTTTTGTGAATTTTTTAGTCGTTGAAGTTGGAAGTGAAGTCGGCGAAAATTAGCATCTTCGACAACTGCCTCTATTTACGTCTACTCGAAGTGCTAAAATCGCTTAAGCTGCTCCATAAAAGGTTGAGGTAGAAGTCTCAGCAAGGGAATCTCAATAGGACGCTTTGGAACTAATTTCAAGAATTTCAAAGTTGGCAACCTTCACCTTGCCAATATTGGGCAGGCTCACGTCTGTTCCACCTGAAATTTCATGCTAATAGTTGAATTAATTGAATTTGAATTTGATATTCTAATACTACGAGAAGTTTGCTATTAAACGATATTAAGCTTGCTTGCAAAACGTTTTACTTTTGGAACAAATTTTTCGATTGAAAAAAACGGCCATTACTTATTAGCCAGCCCACTGCTAGTGGGCTGGCTAATAACTGCTAGTGGGCTGGCTAATAAGTAATGGCGTTTTTTTCAATTGAAAAATTTGTTTCGAAAAGTGAAAAGTTTTGCAAGCAAGCTTAACTTCAGATGAGCAAACTTCTCGTAGTATTAGAATATAAAATTCAAATTCAATTAATTCAACTATTAGCATGAAATTTCTAAATAGAGGCAGTTGTCGAAGATGCTAATTTTCGCCGACTTCACTTCCAACTTCAACGACTAAAAAATTCACAAAAACTATATCCTCAACCAAAGCTTTTTTGATATTCTTATACTACGAGAAGTTTCCTATCAGATGATATATAACTTGCTTGCAAAACGTTTCACTTTTCGAACAAATTTTTCAATTGAAAAAACCGCCATTACTTATTAGCCAACCTAATAGTAGATAACTAAACATACAGCTGATACTCTGGTCCGCCGCGGATAAAGGGGCGTGCCTGCGCGTCTGCGCTTGACTCGGCGACAACCTGTTTTCTTTTCTTTCGGCGAACGGCGGAACCATCATATCATTCGCATCAGTCGTTTGCAGCTGTTGATATCGCACATCCAAATCTGCAACTGTGGCGAATACGCCCCTTCATCCGCAGCGAACAAGACTGTAAATAGGTGCATATGTAGGCGCTTCCTGAGTCCTATAAACACATCCCGCGTAGACAGGTATTAAATAGAAGTTGCACCTTCCCGCTGCCTCTGAGCCCAATGCAGCCTGATGTAGTGGGAGCCTAATGCATGGCTCATCCAGAAATGAAGCTAATTTGCGCTGAACCACCATTGTTTGCTCCTGTTTCACAAAGGGACCCATTTTATGCATACTTCAGTATTCAAATGCGCCACTTGAAGCGATACATAGAAAACGGGCGTTTTGTGCAGCTCGAAGTTCCTTCGAAAAATCCACAAGGTATTCATCTCATGGACCTGGGAAACTTTAGCAACAACTCAAGTGGTTTTGGGAAAGAGGAAACTTCGCTCGTTTCGAAAGTTCTCCTGTGTTTGCAAGCAGTTGAGTTGGAAGAAAATTATCTTCGTTTTGAGCACAGTGTCATATCAAGTGTCGAAAATCCCCAATGAATAACGAGCGCTAAATATCTTTCTAAAATGGGCAGTCTTTATACACATTTCAGCACATTTCGGAAAGTGAAATCTTTTTCTTCACAACTATATTTGTTGTTTCCCCAACCGTTTCTTTTGAGAATGTTATGGCTTTCTTAAAAAGTTTGTTTCACGTAAGGGTGTATGAGCGAACTCGCCCCAACTCTAATTTTAAGGACGCAGACCCGAATTTTAAATTCTGAAGCGCCGCCTGTGCACGCAGGGTACAGCATCGTTGTGTGAAGCACATGGGGGGGGGGTCGTACTTTGCCATTGGGTAGGGGGTCGCATATGCCTTTGAGAGAAACTTGCTGCGTTGGGAAAAAATTTTCCCGGTCGTTAATTTTTCGCGGTTTTCCCTTTTCGCATTGGCTGTTTCCCCTCACACCCGCTCGATAGCAAAATCTTCAGGGAGAAGTAAGAAAAGAAAATTGTCGGGAAATTCCGGGAAAAGTGGTAGGAAGCTGTGAACTTCAGCAAACTGGTGGGCCAGTGTTGGGTAAGGGGAGGGGGGGGGCGTACCCACTGATAGAAGCCCCGCCCACTTTTAAAAAATGGTGTGATGCAGATCGGCAGTCAAGAGTACTTACTGGCTGGTTATGGCCTCTCCCGTCACTCGGAACAGAGTCCCCTTTTTCCGTTGTGACGGGAGAGGCCATAACCTGCCAGTAAGTACTCTAGCCGCCGATCTGCATCATTTTTCAAAAGTGGGCGGAGCTTCTACTAGTGGGCGGAGCCACTTGTCACAGCCTAAAAAAGTGAAAATTCGGAAGAAAAATCAAAATTCCGCGAAAAACACGAAGGGGCGTGGTCAGAGGGGCGGGGCTCAGTGTGCTAGTGTGCAAGATGCATGGCTATTAGTATATTCGTTTTGTGAAGATTCAATGTGAAAGATCTACGTCGAAAAAAGTTATAAAAATTCAAAACTTGCGTAACTTCATTGAAAAGTGGGCGGAGTCATATATGTGTCGGTACCAAACCAATTCAGTTGAAGTGTGTGTGTCAAATAGCAAAAGTGAAAAAATTCGAAGAAGCAGAATTCATAAAACATTTTGGAAAACCATGACCGCGCTAAGAAGTGGGCGGGGATGTTGGGGCGGGGCTTGCAGCAGTACCTAGTGTGGTCTAGTTCTCAACTGCCCATTGTAAGGGGTGTGTCCGATTTGATTTGAAAAGTGTCCGATTTGGTTTCGAAAAGTGTCCGATTTGGTTTGAAGAAGTGTCCGATTTAAAGTGAAAATGGTGTATATTCGCATCATGGATAATAAGGATGTGTGACATTGACATGTCAACATGTGTGACAAAATTGCATGTGTGACATGTCATTTCAAGTACACTCGAGATCCCTGAGATCGGGTAGGCGTGGCCGCATGTTTCAACTTACCCTTAAGGCGTCTACGCTTCTGATGCGATATTTTCATCTCGACACAATCGTTGTCGTGTCTCTGTCCAATACAGAACAAGATGACAGTTGTCCCAGACTGGAATATTCCACTAGTAACCAGTTCCTTACAGTGTTCGAATGCTCCGCCTACCCGATCTCAGGGATTTCGAGTATAACTGGGTTCTGTAACTAAAGTAAACAACGAAGGGTTTATGTGGGATGTGCATGTGCGTACGAAACGTTCCCTATTTTGGGAAGAGAAGTTTTAACTTAACCCGCCTCCCCACTCGACAGCAAAATTTGTGGGAAAAACTAGGACATTTGGGAGTGGGCGACGATCTCAGCTGTACCTGAAACGCGGTAGGCGGGACTGCGTACTTCATTTGAAGATACGTAGGATTTGCCTACTCACCAGCCGACGCCCAGCGCATCTCAGATCTGCAGTACACCAGGGACCACATTAAGGGAATTATGAGAGAGGAAAGAAGATTGGGCTAGTTTCGAACTTTTCTTAGGCCAGGAATTATTGGTGCCCGGAACGGTTCACCAGCTGCTTCGGTGAACTCCAACACTTTATGTAAGTCTTTCTGGAGCAATGTGAGAAGAATTGTGATTTCTCGAGGCTGGTTCGGAGAACAGAAATCCAATCGCTTACTGCATCTGAATAAGCTGAAAAACAGTTCTTTACTAGATTTGAGTATTCTTAGGAATACTATCAAAAGAAGGTCTTCAAATGACGCGCATTTCTGGGTTGACTATTACCATCCCACTTATCATTTCCGCAGCTTTCATTTCTTATCGTGCCATTCGTGTTTTATCTTTGCCTTGACGAAGTTAGTTTGATATTCTTTGCTTTGGGATCAACTGCTCATGATGAAACTGTTGCCAATACGTCAACGTTATCCA